AAAAGTCTCATCTGGACTAACTACGACCTTCTCTTAGAAATTAGGTTGTATCGAATAGAAGCAGGCTTCTCTCGACTTATACCACCTTCCTGTGGAGCCCTGTATCGATATCCACCCGCGCCTTTTACAATAATCACAGTGTACTACTCACGTTTTATTAGTAGGCTGTTGGAAATCGGTTGCCATGATGCACCAGGTACCGATGCGATTTCTATACCAGATGTATTGTACAATTCACCATTTAGATCTCACCGGGGCTACTTGCTGAGACGAAGTCGAAAGCAACGTCCAAAGTGGACGAGAACAACATTTTTGCGGGTGCAAGGCTCAGCGAATAACAACAAAAAATATGATTTATTATATTCTTTTGGGAGGAATTTACTATATGTCACCACAAGAAAATGCATATCTTTGAAAAATCAGAAGCTCGACCGAGGCTACAAAGTTGAGTACTGCCAACATGTTAGCACACACACACATACACACACGCACATACGATCGTTGTTTGGTGGGTTTTTAATCACAATAATGATTTTGTGAATTGGCAAATTAATCGTATCTTCTCATGCAACTTTATCGTTGCAAGGATGCATCATTTTCGACATGCCAGTTCAACCAGCTTGTCGATGGTTGTACCGGATGCCAGGAACTTGGTTGCAGTTTGGCAGTTTGGATAAAGACTTAATAAAGATTTTGTTGTCGATTGCCACGATACTCACGACCCAGTATCCAATCCTGTTAGGGTGTTGATAATACCCAAACGGGGTCGAAATTGCAGTTCGTTCTGAACGAGTTCGCCTTTTGGTAGGCAGGACTAAGTGAAGTGGGTTGACCTTGTTGTTGCAACTGGATCTTGTTGTCAGGGCGACTTGGTAAAACTAACCTAGTCCGAAGTCGTCTCCCAAAGTAGTTGGTCAAAAGACCAAGTTGCGACAACGAGGTCAACCCATTTCTATAAATCGAAAGGAGACTGTGACCATACCAGAGGGCACAAAATCTTGGTCTTCATATTTTCAGGGTTAAGTGAAGTTTACTGACATCATGAGACCTACTCATCTGAAGCCACACTTTGCTGACCAAGTTACTATTCAAGCATTACTGATAATTGTGAAAACTACTCACATCGAAAATAAGTAGGTGAGTTGGAGAATTCAACTATTCGTCCTTAAATCGCCTGAAGCGACCTCTAATTTAGCCATTATCAACAGTTTGGAGCCATACTCGTTCGGAATATAAGCAAATATGGCAAATATGTTTTTGCCTTGTCGGCGATCCCATTATACGTGTCGTCTGGGCCTGCACTTTGAGACTCGCTGGAATGCGTGGTATTCTGAAGTCTTTGCATCGGATTGTGGAAAAACCCAACAACCGCTCCTTAAATCACCTTGAGCCAGTGGTTCCCGAGTCGCGGCGCCCTTTTTCAATTAAAATTGTTCAATGGCGCCTTACCCGAAGAGATACAAAAAAAATATTTTGTTTTACTTTGTTAACATTAAAGTAATATTTAATAATTAATGTGATGGATGAGCCTGCAAATCAATGAACATTTTCTCAAATTGAAGCTTTTACAATATTTCGCGGCGCACAGTTTGGGAATCACTGCCTTAAGCTTGGAAGACTACTCATATCGAAAACAAGTAGCGTCGTCAAATTCGATAAGATGGTTTGAAAACTCAACTATCAGCCCTTAGATCACGTAAACTGATCTCAACTTGTAAAGTCGTTACTTCAAGATTATGCTCTTCATTTTCACTCCTTACCAGCTCACTAAGAGAGATAAAAAAAGGTAAACGCGCAAGGGGATATACATGCTAAAAGAGGTAGAAAAAGATGAGCAGATGGAGACAGGCATGAGCATGCATTCAGAAAGACATATCGGCCACTGTTCAGCTCAGTCATTTTGGCGACGGCCACGTGGCCGGAAAGTGAAACGGACGGCCTCTAATTTGCATACATGAGCCGAAGTTGC